ATCAACTCGCCAATCTGGCTCTGTGTGTCTAAACACTCGCAGCTTGCCGGCAAAACGGCCCAACATTCGTGGAAAATCTGGCAGTGTAAAAGGGGCTATTTACATTTGTTGCTGGGAGTTCTGAAGACTGTTAGTTCTGCTATAACTTGAGTTTGTTTCTTACTTGACACAGTGAAGCTGACCTTGCAAACATCGTGACAAAATCAACTTTGATGCTACAAATCTTTATTTTATGCTACATTTTATACAAATTAAATACATACCATGTATGTAGTCGTTACAGCCCTTTTTTCCACAGCAGACATTTCTATTGTCAAACTGGGACTGTACGACATTAACAATGGCTTTGTTCTATCCAAGCGTCCCTGGTCCATGGCAGCATGACAGTGAGCCTCTAGGCACAACACCAGGACCTTGAAACTGAAGCAGCGAAATAGAATTCAGCCATAATTATTTTATTATTTACACTTGTGCTTTTGTGACATGTTAAAAAAGATCTGTAGTTGCTGTCATACTTGCTGTTCAAGTAAAGAAAAGAGAAGTGCTGACAGTGAGTTTAAAAGGAAAACGTGTTTCAATGCTGCTGATGAAACTCCTTCTGTTTCTTCTTTGTCTGCTGTAAAATCATTGTTTTGCTGTCAGGGCTTACAGGTTACGTGTGCCCGCTGTCAGAGGTAATTTGTTGGCTAAAATTCACGTAGAGCAATGCCAGCTTCAGCTTAAAACACACTTACATGTTTAGACATCTGCATGACAGGAACACGTGCCTGAGAGGAGATCCACACACGCTCACTCACACACACACACACAGTTTCCTATGTAAACTGTCAGACGTTTCACTCATGCTAAAACAAACACTCTGCTGCCCTCTGTTGGACATGTGGAGAACACTGAAGACAACCTACAGAATGTAATGGTGGCCCACTTGTTAGATACAAAGGACTATTTAACTTATTTCCTTTGGCAGCTGCATTTTGTTAACTGCTAGCTGTTGAAAAACCATTTGTCTTCTATTTCCATTGTCATCTCAAAGAAATGCTTGCTCTTGTGCTCTTGTCCATCCTCGGGACTGGGGGAATTTACTTTGAACAGTTGGACGAGAATGACCTCCTCTTGCACATAGTAACCAAACAAAGCCATGAATCACAACAGCCACACAAAAGTGATCATAAGTCATTGTCTGGTTTGCAATCAACCGTTCTTGTAAGATGTTGATTTGCAGGATTGTATTCATATGTTTTTTTGCAGAGCCAACATTTGATTAGGCCATTCAATCCTATGGCTAATAACCAAGTATGACTGCAATGTGTGAGCTGGGTCCTCTGTAACCACAGTGCATCACACACCAGACAGCACTTTTATTTGCTCATTTCACCTTTATACAATATTAATAGCCTAGCAGCAGATCTGTTGATTAGCTGGTGTGACCTGCACAGTCGGGACACTCAGCTGTCATTCAGCCATCATTCTTTTGGACACTCTGGACTATTTTGTCACACCAGTACGAGTTCAGTCGGCGGTCACGCAAAGGCAAGGCCACTCTCCCTGAAAAGATCAATCGGACCTTTCAGTGACAAAAGGACAACTGGGATGTGTGTTTGTGCATGGCTGTATATGTAAATGGATGTGCACAGATGTGTGTGTGTCCTTTGTCTAATAAATTAATGCAGTGTTGTTATATAAACTGCCATGACTGCTGCGGTTGTCAGTCCCAGTGGAGCAGTTTGAATCCGTCGTCCACCTCTGCTTTTCAGTCGGAGTTTACAGCAGCACTGGCTACTTTGATGGGTTGGGGTCACATTCATCTGCGAGTTATTGGTTTATTGTATTTAATGTAAGGCCATAATGGGCTGTCATCAAACCGGTGACCTTCTGTTTGCTTGTATACCATGTGATGAATTACAAATGCATGTACAGTGTCCGAGCCAAGAATTTAACCTCTGTTAATGTGATGACAGCTGAAGGTTAAAGTAATCATAAGAAAGTATAAGACTAAGTTACAGTGTATGTGCATGTATGTATGATTTACTAAGTGTGTCATTAAAGCTTTACCTATTGAACCACTAATCTCCTGAGGATAAATTATTGACTTTTGTGACTTTTTTTAATTCCTTCCTGTCCACTCACAGTGCTCCAAGACCTGCGGGCGTGGACTGAGGAAGCGGAGTGTGTTTTGCCGCAGCACTGATCCTGGGGCCAAAGCGGTGGTGGTGCCCGACAGCATGTGCAGGCAGCACCACAGACCCAAAGCCCAAGAGACCTGCGTCCTGCGGCGCTGCCCTAAGAATGAAAGGCTGCAGTGGATCCCCACTCCTTGGGGAGAGGTAAAAAGGACACATGAAGCTTGAATAGCAGTAATGCTAAAAGTGAAATGTCTTCATTTTCAGTTTAATAATTTCGAGGAAAAATACGCCCTAAAGCACTGAGAATCACAAACAGCTTTTGATGATGCACCTTGCTCTGTGGGTCCATTTTGTTGCTTGGTGCTGTGTTTGTCTCGCTCCAAATGTCACCTCACACTGACTGAAACACTTCCAGCACAGCTATGATTTGCAGCGTTATCAGGAGTAAACATCACGCTTTGATGTCAGTACTTCAGAGTTAAGAAAACAAATGCCTCTCACTAGCGCTCTCATTTTTCAAAAATATTTATCAATCATATACGGAGAGCTCCATTATAGAACAGAGAGAGCAGTTTTACAGCCAGCAGCCTCAGTAGACCAGAATGCCATGCGACATCAAGACTCGTGCTTCATGGGGCTGGAAAAAACTCAGCACTGGTCAATGTCAAATCCCTTCACTGAGCGTGTTGAAAGGCTAACTGGTAATTGTAGGAACTGGATGAACTGGACTGGAAGTAAAGGGAAAATGAATAACTAAAAATTGATAGTAAAAAAAAAAAAATACCCATTCATCCACCACACCTCACTCCCTTAGTGGACTGTGTCACTCTTAATGCAGTGTCAACTTACTTTCTTGTGATACATTTGTGAGGTTTTTCTTGTAAATATACCACTTTAATCTCATATAATATCCAAGAGTGGCTAGTCCTAGCCCTAACCATGACCTCTTTGCTCTAATTCTGACCACATCCGACCCTTGACGCATCAACTTGATGAGTACTAGCCAGTCACAGCATGCAGTAGAATCCATAATGATTTGTTGTAGGGATGGGTGTAGTAGCTTAGTAGCTGCAGTGTGACTATTGTCACCCAACTGCAAATAGACATCATGTAAAAAGAAATTACAATATGCTTTCCACAAAAAAATATATATATATTTTTAAGCTTTCTGTGTCAACATGTTCAACCTCTTCGCAAGTAATGTAAGTTAGAATATTGTCACACGGAGTAAAGCAGCTAAAGCTAAAAAAAGCTGTCAATTTAACTGATTATGATGAAAATGTTCTTCTTTTCCATTTTTAAATATACTGCCAATTTAACATCTTAAGTTTTGAACATTTGGTTGAACAAAAACACACAGTTTGACGACTATACCTTGAGTATTGCTGCCACCATGATAGAAAAGAAATTACTTATTGTAACTTCAGAAGTTTCATGTCTTTTCCTAGTAGAAATAATGAGCAAATATACCAGAAATAACAAAAATGTACTTGCTCAGCAATCTTATCACTTTTTATGCCAACAAATACTCCAACAAGGATTTTTTTTTTTACAATTTCCAACATACGCTGGCTGTCTCCAAAACTAATCAGTGACCTCCAAACAACTTGGGGGTTTTGAATACATTATTTGAAGAATTATTTTTAAATCTAGGAAGTTTAATCTATGTTTTTGTGGCTCCATACAAGTATTTCATATATATTTATTTTTGCTAGTAGCCATCAGTTGAGATAGCATATTCTTTTAGTGTGTGTGTCAAAGATTTGTGATTTCACACCTGCCTCCGTGATATAAATTCTTCTTTGTTCTCTTTTATGTTAAGTGCAGTAGTTTGAGTGAGAGGGGTTGCCCCAAGTTATGCGCTAAATAGTTCATGTTGCTCAATATGGAATGATCAAGGTCAGCAAAAGGTTAGGTTTGCAGCACAAGACAAGATAGATAAGCAAGATAAAGCACAGTGAAGATACTTAGCTCCCAGAATGGTGGTTTGGATTTTGAAAAAGAGCCAGACACATCGAACACTCACACGTGTACATATGCACTGTCTGCTCATCAAATGTAATGGCTGAAAAATACTCAGTAGAGCACTTAGTATTTTGGCTCTATTGCTACAACGTAAAGTGACCTTGTGGTGTCTGCTGCTATGGGAACCTGCCGCATTACACACACACATTCACAGAGTTCATTTTGTAAAATTGTCCCTCCTGCCTGCGCTCTGTTTCAGTGCTCCAGGTCTTGTGGCTCAGGCATCCAGAAGAGAGAGCTTCGCTGTGGGGAGAGAGACTCACAGGGAGGGTATGTGCCTTCAACTGCACACCAAGACACTTTAATAGATCTGCACACATGCTTAATACCCCGCTGTGTCATCTGTGTGCTATCCTCAGAGTCAGAATGTTTTCAATATTGGAAGCTCTGTCGGAAAAGTAATTTTGAGCTGACAATCTGTCCTCTCCCACACAGGTATGTGGAGTTCCCCGTACGGAGGTGCAGGAATATGGCTAAGCCTTTGGTGGATCTCCAGCAGGGCTGCAACCGAGGTCCATGCCCAGAGCTCCCTCGAGTTGTCCCTGGCAGAACCAGCTCCAGTGCTGTGGTCTTAGGCTGGTACTCCTCTCCCTGGCAACAGGTACATTTGTTCAGGCTTTGATCCTAAACTGTATACATGAGAGACTTTTAGTGCTACGTGTGCGTTCCAGCTGACAGTCTTCCAATTCTGAGCTTTTCTCCCACACACCACACAACTGTGAAGTGTACTACACGGATATTAAATTGCATCCCAGGACATGTAACGCGTGGCTGAATGCTCAAACTATAATTTGTCATCATAGCCATGATGACACTTAGATCTCACATCAGTAAACTGGATATTTATCTCTGTTTGGGAGGATGGCTAACGACAGTCAACATTTGAAAGCTTTGTATTTCTCCACATGTAGAAGTGGTTTCCATGGGACTGTAGTGAGAGACATTCTCTGCATTTACTGTGAATGGTCTTTCTTTCCATAACTAAAACACAAGTGCAAAAACACAAGCAAAACAACATAAGCTGCGTCATTAGCCTGTCCATCTGACCACCATACTACCCACAGTAGTAACCAAGGTAAGATACTGTAACCCCATTTCTGTTAGCACATATTGTGAGCTCCGCAAGTATTCAGGCAGGCAGGTCCTGATTGGCCAACTACATGATGCAAATCTTGGAATCTCAAAACTCGTAATTGGAGGATAGTATTACCCGTAGAGTCCAGTAGAGGGCAGAGTTTGTGTGAGATGGAATGGAGGGTAGTCTTTATATATAGACTGTAGGCAAACCCCAGAGATCTTACCTCCGGAAGAAGAGCGGAAGAGCCCTGGTTTCCAGTTGTAGGCTGTTTGTAGTCCGCGTGATATTGACCAATCA